TATTTCACACTAGAGTGAAGGTCACAGAAACGTACGTCACTCTAAGGTCATTCTGGTGCTTCAAATCTAACCAACTAGTAGAAAAAAAACATAGGGTATGATTTCACGCAACTAGATACATGTAACAGGGTGAGAAACTAACAGTTTTCGTCCACTAGTCCTTATAATGATAACATATAGCAAAACCCTTAAAATGGGCCAATTTCTACTAGTCCTTAGGATACCTTTACTATTGGGCAGTTTGGTAAGGACTATAGGACTAGTGCCAATTTCTAACGCTGATGTAATCTCTAAATAGAAGTTGCGGGCTTAGTGATGAAGGTCACGCAGAGGTTGATACTTTTTGTGGTGAAAATCATTCGATATGTCTCTCTTTCCGCTTGCTGTCAATAATTCAGCAACGTGCAAAGTGGCTGAGTTGCGGAAAGAGATTCAGCTTTCTTGTCGAAGCTTATTTAAAAAATGTTTCGATGAAATATGTACAAGTCTACCATACTAAAGGCGACTATGCTTGGCGTAAGAGGCGACTAACGGGATCGGGTAGTCAGTCTCGCTGACTTGGTTGATGCATGTCGTATCCCAATTGCGTGTATCGGTGCTCATGTCAATCATAGCTGTTATATTGTTTAGTGCGGCGTTAAACAACAAACAAACCCAACCAAACCATACTAAAGTGACGGCTTCATATACATGATATTACGATTTTGGAAAAGTTTGAAAGAGGCAGTGATAAAAAGAAATTACGAAATCGAATCCTTGAATACTTTGACAACATTTTTTATCGGGGTCGTTTACTTCACTTTTCATGCCTTCTGCCAAGTATTTGGATATTCTAGTACTGAAGGTCATTCTCTGTGTTAACACATCCCAACTTTACAAGCTCTTCAAACATATCTGTGTGCTCCTCTGTGTTAACACATCATGTACATTACGTGTATAACACACACAGTGGACTGCTTCATTTAAATACGATTGTACTGTAATGTAGACATTTGTCTGACTGTGTCTAAACTACCAACAGGTCTGAGTTTTCATGTTAATACATCTTACCACTTGAATTTCAAATTTATTCTCATTTTCAAATTTCACGCATCATTGACAAGAATGATGTCGGATGTAATTTCCTATCTTGATTTTACCACATATTCCCGTGTTTTTTCGGGCAAACGATTGATTCTTTGCATGTGCTTGTGACTGATGCCAAGGCAGGGCAGGATACGCTCACCTTTCGCAAACACCTGTTATCATCACAATTTGATAGTGATTCATAAACACATGTTCATGATAAAAGAGTCGGAATCGTACAATGGATTCAGCTTCTTGCAGCGATTTCTTATGAATATGGAAATTGTTATGTCGCTTTAACAATACCAGGCACAATACTAACAGTATCAAACAAGAAACAACTAAAAGTCAAAAACTTGAATAATGAAATAATTGTTTTCAAAAGTAGATCATACACTGCAAAAAATTGTGTTTAGAACACAAACATAGACAAGACATGTTAAGATCTAAACATGATGAGGAATGCGTTTAAATCCTAAACGGAATACACAATTTGTCTTTTCTATCTAAACGCATTTTGGTATAACACATGAAATGAGCTATCGTCTCACGCATCCCCATAATCTAAACATGTTCAGAATTTAAACGCGCTTTAACATGTTTAAGCATGTTTAGAATTTAAACCTGTTTCAATGAAGTGCATATCATTAGGCAATAAGTCAAAAATTGATAGGATGTATAACATATATTGAAATTAGATGTGCAAATCAGATTCACGGGCACTTTCATAACACAAATACCACTATGACTTCCAACGAAATTGGTACAATAGTAACAGTAACAAGAGGTTGCAGGTTCGTGACCCTCTAAAGTTTCAAAATCTATATGTTCATAAATGTGTTGTTGCTGTATGACTAATAATATTTATCTCATTCAGGAAGCTGACAATCAAATTACTCCGATAGACCCTTTGTGAGTGAGTGTGTGAGTGAGAATGATTGTACGCAGCTCTTAGCAATATTCCAGCAATATCACGACGAGGGACACCAGAAATGGGCTTCACACATTGTACCCATAAGGGGAAACGAACCCGGGTTTTCGGCATGATGAGCGAAGGCTTTAACCACTAGACTACCCCAACGTCCGTCGATAGACCCTCAATGTTTTACGTATCACCACCAACCCACCCAAAACTTAATTAATTTGTACTGCAATATGTATAAAGTGTACAAACTTTATGAGCAGATGGTATCCCTGACATGTAGTCAGGAAGACACAATTAATGTTTCCCTGACTGCAGTTATTATTTTTCTCTACGAGATGGGATTACACTGTTCGTGGCGATGGCCTAACAGTTTTCAGGCAAAAGGCTGAAGGTCACGTTCTTGAAACTGAACGTAAGTACCACCAATATGACGACGTATATATCAGCTTTGTTGCACCAGTTATCATGGGCGGATACAGATTTATTTCTGTATAAATTACCACCAAAGACAATAAATAGATCTTAATTGTGCACACACACACACACACACACACACACACACACACACACACACACACACACACACACACACCTTTCAAAAAAGCTGTATCCGCCCATGGTTATCATAGGTTTGGGTGATAGTACAGATTCAGATACATCATATCAGATGTTGTATATAGTACTTTTCACCCATTTTAAGAGCATTCAGTTACATTTTGCATCCCCTGTGTGATATGTTCCGTGTTTTCATGGGTGTAAGTAAATACATGTTGAGTGTCTCGTCCACGGTCTAAGGGAAATCACTCTGTCAGTCCTCTGAAAGTTGTGCCGCTAAGCGCACTGTCAAATTGAATGCGCTTACGTCATTTGCTGACGTCATTGGCTGACGTATCTTTGTCAGCCATGTTTTATGAAACATGAACTGATGTGACCCAACTTCTTTGTTGTTTTCAGGCATGTGTGATAATTAACGGTCGAGATAAGACCACAACATATGTATAATGTAGATGAGAACATGTAGATTTGAAATAACCATATTTGGCTATATAGGAAATGTTATAATTAGATAATTACTTGCTAAACGATAACGCTGCGCCCAGTCAGTCTTCTTAGACGACATGGTAGCGAAAGACAGTCAAGGTCATTTGTCGTTTTAGTGAGTGAGTTAAGAATTAACGTCACATCGGCAATATTTCAGCCATATAGTGACGATGTTGTTTTAGTACTCACACAGATATATATGATGTGTATCGCTGTCAAACATGTACACACACTCCTCGGGCAATGTTTTCAAGCAAAAGTTAGTATAAAAAGCACTATTTGTCCACACCTAGCTGATCGTTCATATTTAAGGTCACGTGACCTCCCACATTTTCATGTACATCGTTTGGCATACTTTCGTTGTATATTTTGTATGACACACTGCAAGCATAAAAAATAATCATCGTAAATATAACTTTTCTGCATTAAAACATAATTGAGCTGAACCAATATAAGTTACAGCACATCACATTTCATTGCATAGCATGTCTCAGTTAAAGGGAGGTAATTCTGTTTGTCTTGTTTACACACTGATTTTACGACACTTGACAATGTAATGCAGTTTGACTCAATACTCATTTATAATACAATCTGTGTAATTTCTTAGTTTAAATTTGTAATAACAAACTAATGGGAGTATAATTCATTAAGGTATAAATATTAATAGCAGTACATGTCTTAATTGCCACTCCGTCTAGGCATATCTCAATAAAGTACAAGAGGCCCACAGGGCCTGTATCGCTCACCTGAATATTTACGCAATCATGACAAACTATACAATTAACATTGTACATTGTATATAATACTGCAAATATTTCATAATTCTGACTCTCTCAGCATTTAAAAGGGGTGGATGGCAAATCTGACACCATGAAAGTGTACTCCTCTAGATACAAATGTAGCCGTTTCCATCTTATGATCCAGGATCTAAGTTACCAGAGGCAAGGCTGGACCCCAGAGCGAATCCTATTGGCATAAATGTATTATTCTCTTCATAACAAACAAATGTATACAATGTATCTGTTATTATAGGGTGGGGATAATATCGGTTTGCATGTTATGGTCAAGGTTCTAACTCCTTTGGGAGTGCCGGACAGATGAACAGAAGGGCCAGTCCTGGTAGCATATGTACATTCCTCTCATTATACTCAGCAACTGTACATATGGTTATACGGTGGGGATCTTAACTTTTTGGCCCCGCCCATCAGCCCCTTGGGTGGTCAGCCCCACCATTTTCACAATTGTGAATCCTCACCACCGGAGAATGCTTCCAACCAAATATGGTTGATATCTATCTCTTAGTTCCAGAGAAGAAATTGTTTAAAGCAATAAAGCCAAATAAACCCAATTTGGCTCATCCCCTACATTTGTACAGTTTTGAATCCTCACCACCGAAGAATGCTTCCAACCAAATATGGTTGATATCTATCTCTTAGTTCCAGAGAAGAAGTCATTTAAAGCAATAAAGCAAAAAAAACCTATTTGGCCCCGCCCTTCAGCCCCTTGAGGGGTCAGCCCCTCTTTTGTACAATTTTGAATCCTCACCACCAGAGAATGCTTCCAACCAAATATGGTTGATATCTATCGCTTAGTTAGGGATTCTTCCAGGCAAATTTTATTAATTTCCAATTATTGGTTCAGAAGAAGAAGCCGTTTGAAAAAATTGTTGACACGGATGATGGACAACAAACGGACTACGAACACCACGGTATGGTGTAAGCTCACCTTGGTCCTTTGGACCCGGTGAGCTAATAACAGTAAATTGTTGGTCAATGAAATCGTCTGTCAGTACTTCAACTCACTTCCAGTGAGTTGTAGGTACTGACTGCATCAGTTGTCCTACATCTGGAGGATATTACACTGTAAAATTCTGAATATGTACATCAACATCAGCTTTCAGTAACATGTCACCACACTTTGCAGATCCCTGTCCTGCTGCTGCATGAAGTAGTGTGTCACCTGTATTATTCTACACATTCACATCATCTCCAGTCTCAACACTCTCCGTAGATCTCAACATCAACACTGCTGCTGCTTTGTGAAGTGGAGTGCCACCTGTATTATTCTCTACATAAGCATTAGCTCCAGCCTTCAGTAGCACATCTATATACACTGTAAACATCTTTGCTGCTGCTGCTTTGTGAAGTGGAGTGTCACCTGTTTTATTCTCTACATAAGCATTAGCTCCAGCCTTCAGTAACACATCTATACACACTGTAAACATCCTTGTTGCTGCTGCTGCTGCTGCTTTGTGAAGTGGATTGCCACCTGTATTATTCTGTACATATGCATCAGCTCCGACCTTCAGTAGCACATCTAGACACACTGTAAACATCCTTGCTGCTGCTGCTGCTGCTGCTGCTTTGTGAAGTGGAGTACCAGCTGTATTATACTGTACATTAACATCAGTCCCAGCCTTCATTAGCACATCTAAACACACTGTAAACATCCTTGCTGCTGCTGCTGCTGCTGCTTTGTGAAGTGGAGTGCCACCTGTATTATTCTGTACATTAACATCAGCCCCAGCCTTCAGTAGTCTGCTGCTGCATGAAGTGGTTCGTCACCTGTTTTATTCTATACCTTCACATCAGATCCAGCCTTTAGTAAGGCATCACCACACTTTGCAGATCCCCGTTCTGCTGCTGCAAGTGGTGGTTTGTCACCTGTATTGTTCTGTACATTAATGTCAGCTCCCGCCTTCAGCAACACATCAACACAATCTGTAGATCCCCGTTCTGCTGCTGCATGAAGTGGTGTGTCACCTGAATCATTCTTTACATTAATGGCAGCTCCAGCGTTCAGTAACGCATCTACACTCTTTGTAGATCTCAACTCTTCTGCTGCCCCTTTATGAAGTGGGGTGTCACCTGTTTTATTCTGTAGGGTTAACGTCAGCTCCAGCCTTAAGCAACGCATCTACATACACTGTAGATCTAAAATTCGTTAATTTTTCCATTTTGAAAGCAAATGGAGAGACTACATCGATATCATCCTGAAAATTAAAGTCAGCTCCAGTCTCAAGTAACACATCTACACTGTCAGGTCCCAACACTGCTGCCGCCGCTTTATGAAGTGGTGTGTCACCTGTATTATTCTGTACATTAACATCAGCTTTAGCCTTAAGTAACACATCTACACTCTCAGGTCCCAACACTGCTGTTGCATTATGAAGTGGTGTGTCACCTGCATCATTCTCTACATTAACTTCAGCTTCAGCATTAAGTAGCGCATCTACAGTCACAGAATTCAACACTGATGTTGCATTGTGAAGTGGTGTGTCACCTGTATTATTCTTTACATTAACGTCTGCTCCAGCCTCAAGTAACACAACAAGACACTCTGCGGAATCCCTCTTTGCTGCTTCATGAAGTGGAGTGTCACCTGTATTATTCTGTATATTAGCATCAGCTCTAACCTCCAGTAGTAACACATTCATAAAATCTGTAGATTCAACATGTGGTGCTGCTACATGAAGTGTCACCTGTAAAATTCTGAACATTCACATCAGCTCCAGCCTTCCGAAACTCATAAAAAACGCTAAAGATCCATACTCTGGCGCTGCTTCATGAAGTGGTGAGTTACCTCTTTCATTCTGTATATTAACGTCAGCTCCAGCCTTCATTAACACATGAACACACTTTATAGATATACTCTTTGATGCTACATGAAGTGGTGTGTCCCCTGTATTATTCAGTACATTCACATCCGTTCCAGTCTTCAGTTACACACCCACACACTCTGGGGATCTCCACCTTGCTGTTTCATGAAGTGGTGTGGCACCTGTATTATTCAGTACATTCACATCCGTTCCAGCCTTCCGGAACACACCCACACACTCTGGGGATCTCCACCTTGCTGCTTCATGAAGTGGTGTGTCCCCTGTATTATTCAGTACATTCACATCCGTACCAGCCTTCAGTTACACACCCACACACTCTGGGGATCTCCACCTTGCTGTTTCATGAAGTGGTGTGGCACCTGTATTATTCAGTACATTCACATCCGTTCCAGCCTTCCGGAACAGACCCACACACTCTGGGGATCTCCACCTTGCTGCTTCATGAAGTGGTGTGGCACCTGTATTATTCAGTACATTCACATCAGCTCCAACCTTTAGTAACTCACCAACACACCCTGCAGACCCAAGCCTTGCGGCTGTATGAAGTGCTGTATCCCCTGTTTCATTCTGTACATTCAGGTCAGGGCCAAGAGACAGAATCTGATTGACAAACAAACTGTCTTTGGTTTCTGCGGCTAACATAAGCGGCGTTTCCCCATTTCTGCCACATCTATCATCTATGTCAAGTTTCATGTGTTTACTGATGTAGTTCAATACACTACAAGCAGCATTCTTACACAACCCAAGTAAATAACACTTATTTCACCCTTGTTGAATGATATGTTTTGTTTCTCTACCATAACTTTGATGAGATGATGTGTCTTGTTGCTAGAAAGTAATTCACAAAATGATTGTCCTGATGTTTTATCAGTCAGTTTCAGAATATCAGGAACACGCACGTGACAGTCTTTCTTCAGGCAGTCTATTAGCAAGTCAATAAACATTGAATTACAACACGCTTGATGTGATAACACATGCAACAAATTGCACCTTGTAATTTCAGTTGCAAGTCTTCTTGCCAAATGTCCAGCATAGGTCCATGGAATGTTTGTAACAAAATCTGTTTCACCAGGCACGTTTTTAACTCCTTTTGAGGGGTTAAGACTAAGTCTTTGATGGATGAATGACAAACTACAATTTTCTATGACAAACATTGGACAGTTTGTGCTGAGAATTAATGCAATACTGTCATATATAGATGGATGATCAAACATGTATGTGCTATCTTCCTTCTTGAGATAAGATCCAACCAAATCCTCAGCAGCTGATATGCAAGCATACCCAAGGTTGTCATCCTCCTCCAACTCTTGTCCACTGATCTTCCCATCTCTTTTAATCATTGCCATGAACAATGAACGCTTTGTCTCTTCTTTAAGAAATTTATTCAAGGTCTGTTTGAGGAAAGCAAGAGGCATTTGAAAAAAAGTCTCCACTGGACACAGAATCTGATCCTTTTCATATGCTGTGACAAACATTTTACACACGTGAGGAAAGCCGTGTGGACAGTCAGCCCGACATATCTGGGACACAGCTGACTCCTCAAAGTTTATGTGTTTTTGAGAAGCATGAAAATCCCATATCTTCCTTTTTTCATTAGAGTCTCTCTGCGAGGAAACTTCCACCACATATTCCGGACTAGATATGCAATCTGTCATCTTTCCTAAGTCTGCCAATGAAGATTTAAGCACATAATCACGGCCTACGAGGATAATAATAGTTTTCTCTTTGTTTGGTGCTGTCTTTTTTCGCTGTGTTTGCACATCTTTTGTTCTCTCTGAAACTTTATCAATTTTAGTTGACTCGTCTGGATCTGCCATATCCACAATAGGTTGTAGACATTGTCTCCACTTGGCCCACGATGCTGCATCGAATTCCAGATCACCAAATACGTCATCTAAGACAAATGACAGGGTTAGTGCAGGTTGTTATGACTTCATTGAACTCTTCGGGCGACTCCACCTTAAATACTTGTCTCCCCTGACTGTGCTGATCTTTGAGAGCAATATAGGCTATTGTAGTCTTCCCCTCTCCTGGTCTTCCTTTAATTGTCACCCATGTTGCACCTCTGTCTAGCTTGTCTGTCACCTTATGCAGGGCTTCTGTCTCCATCATGTCTTTAGTGTAAAACTGTATCCTGGATTCTGTTCTTTCTGTTGAAACAAGATACACATGTGTAAAGATTTTAATTTGTTCTCAATTAAAGCATTATCACATACTGTATATGAGCGTGGATAAGCCGACCCCGTAGATAAGCCGAGGTGTTAACTTGACCATTGAAATACGAAAGAAAATGATATGATGGGCAGATCAGCCGAACAAGGAAGTGAAAGGCTAAAAACACTGCGTAGTCGGACTGCAAGACATGTGCCGGTACTCGCAGATATTCAAAAATATAAGATGAAAAAAACGTTGTAATTATATTGAAAAAGTCATTATTATTTCTAATAAAGATTACACAACCAGTCATCCACTTTCATAATGGGGGAAGCTGTTTCTCGTCTTTTTTTAATCTCATAATGATCGTTTTATGTTGCCATCAACAACGAAGCACCATTTTGTGAATCGGTGTATATAGAATTATGAACCCGTGAGAAAATATATCAGCTAGAGCGAAGACTCGCAGTTTGAATTCAGCATCGTAAACATGGCGTTTTTGTTTCAAACTCCTGATGAGAATGTCCGTTAATACTTACTTATATTGGAGATTTAATGTGCGATTTCCAACTGCAACCATATGTCGCACACGGGCCTGGCCAGGCCATTTGATGTGTTTCCGAAAAGGGGAAAAGTGAGGTTGTGCAACCCAAGTGTGTGTGTGTGTGTGTGTGTGTGGGGGGGGGGGGGGGGGGGGGGGGGGGTTTAGGGGTTGCTTATAGTAGTTGATTCCTAGCACCCTCGTGTTTACATGTGTGAGTGAGTGAGTTTGTCATTTCCACAATATTGTAGACTTGTGGTCAGATTGTAACCAGGTACACATCATTATGAACAGAATCAAAATCAAACTTGTTGCCATGGAAACAGAAAAAAATATGTATTCGAAACACCCTTAAATAGCAAAAGGCACCATTTGACAACTTGGTATTTGTGTGTGCAAAGTGTCATGAAAGAATACCTATTAGTTTTAGAGATATGGTCCGGACAAACACGCCACTATGAACAGAATCAAAGTCAAACTTGCTGACATGGAAACAGGAAAAATTACTTTTTTGGAAATTCCTAAATAGCAAAAGGCACCACTTCAGCCCTTGATTAATGCATGTACCAAGTTTGGATGAAGAATGTTGAATAGTCTTTTATAGTTCTGCTCTGGAAATGACGACTACCTTCGTTTCAGCTAAGTCTGACTTGTTTCCATGGAAACAGTGAAAAATCAAATTTTGAAAAATCCCTAAATAGCAAACGGCACAAGTTGACCTGGACTTTGTGTTTGCAAAGTGTCGTGAAAGATTACCTATTAGTTTTAGAGATATGCTCCAGACAAACACACAACTATATACAGAATCTAAGTCAAACTTGTTGCCATGGAAACAGGAAACTTTTTTTTAAATCCTAACTTGCAAAATGCACCACTTCAGCCTTTGATTATTAATACATGATACAAGTTAGGATGAAAGATGTTGAATAGTATTTTCAGTTCTGCTCCGGAAACGACACCTACCTTCGTTTCAGCTGAGTCTAACTTGTTTCCATGGAAACAGGGAAAAGTCAAATTTTGAAAAATTCCTAAAATCCTAAATAGCAGTCCTAAACTTCAGCCCAGGTTTGGATGAAAAGTCTTTTACAGTTTTCAAGTTGTGCTCCAGAAATGACACCCACCCCTACTTAGAAAGGGTTTTGCACAAACCCAGAAAACAGGGACAGGGAGTTAGCCCTGGTTACTCAGGTAAACAGATATATATAGGCAGGAGAAGAACACACATAAGGATGGCTTGAGGATATGGTCAAATGGGACCCACAAACCAAATCACTGGAGATTAGACAGACATCGGGTACTTATGCTAAGCCGGTGATCTGCTCCGGTGTGTAATGCATTCCCTATCAGCAGACTTTGATGACCCGCCTGGATAAAGAGTCATGTGGTATTTGGTATATGTTAGGTGCATACATTGTGCACTTGTGCCAAGGATGTTGGAACATCGCTAAGCTGATCATGAGTCGGTTACGTAACCGAGTACCCTGTAAGCCCTTGGGCTGATGTCATTATAGAGACCTTGATTGGTATGCAGACGCTGCGCTCAGCGCAGGTCCATGACACAAGGCTCATAGGTGATGACTGGATCATTGTAGAAGCACTTGGACCATTGTCCAATTAGCGTACGGGAACGGTGTTGACACCTGAGCGTACATCTGCTGCGCTGGATATGTTGGAACAGCGCTAAGCTGATTGTGCGTCAATGCATAACAGAGGCGCTCACACCCGGCTTGGACACTCGCCCTGTGCAGACGTGTCCTCCCAAGCTCGTCAACCAACGCTCAACCATGAGAGACTTCTCCAAGTCACTTCTGAGGGAACTAGTTGCCATCCTGGAGCCCCTGCTGGCTTACAGGGTTGGCGACTACTCCCTCAGGACTTCCTACAAGTCCAGCACTTCCACCCTCTCCATCTCCTTTGACCTCGGTCGAAGGAAAAGGCCTCTGGTCAAAGATAAGGCCAAGACCAAGCCGCAGGAGAAACCCACCCCGGCCCCTACCCTTGCTGCGCCATGCCGGGTACAGAAGATTAGGCATCCCAAAGTGAAGAAGACCCCTCCAGTCACCACCATGGAGATTGAGGAAAGCCTTCCCACTACCCCTTCTCCCCCGGCAGCAGCACTGGAACTTGCTCCCCTCGAATCCAGAGGGGAGGAGCCCTTTTGCTCACCAGTAGGCACCGGACACAGGAGAAAGAAGAGAAATGGGAGAGAGATCTTCTCCCCCGACTCTTCTCCACGCCCGACACCAACAACCACCAAGTCCACGGAAACCCAGACCGCTTCAACACCAGGCCCCTCCCTCAACACCAGCCAAGTCCAGACCGACCCGGTCCCGGAACCAGTTGTTGAGGAGGATGTCCGTAAGGAATTTGCCCAGCAGGTCAGCCTCATCCTGGAGCAGCACAAGATTCACCCGAACCCCTGCTACCAGAACAAGCATGGCAAGGTCTACCCCAGTACCCGCCCATGGCCCCCCTTGGTCATGGTGCAGACCTGGTTAGAGGAGAGATTTGAACACGAAATCCACAGTTACCAGGATCTCTCGGATTTCCTGGTCGACTGTGACTTCCAGGTCAGCACTGTTTCAGGCTCTCCCTCCAGGAGAGCTAGGCCTAGCCAGGAGGTAAACCATCAGGACAAGTCGACACACCAGCTCGCCAGCCGACGCCGTGCCTTCCCACGCTTGACACCCCCCCACACACACACACACACACGCCCAAGCCCAAACTTTTCCATATTATTAAATGTTCTTTTATCACCCACTCCCACCCAGTGAACCCCACCCCCTTAGATTTACTAGATTAGGTTTTCTTAATTTATAATTTTCTGGGTCGCACTTCTTTATTTATTCATTACGCTTTTTTTACCCCAATAGTATAAGTGCTTCCCCGTGTGCCAGATACGCTATATGTAATTTATTACATGTGGAAAGCGCACGTTAAATCTCCGAATAGACCAGACCAGACCAATAGAGGCGCTTGGGTAGTAGTCAGGCGCTGCGCTCGGCGCAGGTAACAGACCCACAAAGCATACGTGCAAGCCAACCAACGTGGATGATAATCTTGGTAAGATTTTTTCTAAGACAATTAGTATAATCACGCAAACATAGGTACGCAATTATAGGATTGTTGATGAAGAGGGAATGGAAGAAAGCCGTAGAATTGATATTAATTCATCGGCAAACATATTTTTAACGAGTTGAAAGTGTATACAATAATTAATATATATGCAACTCACTGTTACGCCAAAGCTAGTAGTATTTAAGAAGTGTAGAATATGTTTTACATACATAACTGAGAATTGTAAACAATTTGACTACCTTGGCAGGCAAGCGATTGTAACACAATTCAAAATGGCGGCAAACAACAAATATGTGGCAGGAAAAAAGACAAAGAGTCTTTTCAGGCCTAATTAATTCACAAAAAACTACACTACAAAAAGAATACATCACCCATCGCAGATCAAATTTTAGGATTGTGATAGAAAACTGAAGGTCTGAATTAATCCAAAAGGAGAGCGCGACAAGCAGTGACGTGAAGATGACCTTACAAGCGTCAATAAAGGGACTTCAGAACAACAACTCTATTTCTTGCGCTGTCCTTCTAGATGTCGTAAGATAAGCAGTGAATGCATTAACCTTTAGCCTGATGAATAATTTTCACACTTCTTACCCCTTCCTGCTGGATTAATTTTAGCATAAGAGGGTGGGTGATTTCAAACAGTCGGTGCCTCATTAAGCAAGGGCCAATTGAAGAAATATTTTGCATATTTAATCATGATAGAAAACTACACAGTACTATTTAAAAATATCTCAATATTTTCTATCATACCAAGGTTAAGACCAATGGGAACACAAAATTTGTAAATTTTCTTGAACTTACCTGAATTGCATTATTGAAGGTGGTTTGCGTTTCATGCTAGGAACCTTTCCAAAAATATGAAGACTAACATGATTGCATATT